GTTTGCCAGAAATGAACAAGTACACTGCTGGTTCCATTAAATGAATATGAAGCACTTTTGTGTCAGTGTCTCTCTGCACACCTGCGTGTGATCACATCCCCATCCCCCTTGGCTCACCCTGCTCGATTTCATGCTCCAGGCACTGGAGCCAGGGAATCAATAGGAGCAGCTGAAGGTATTCAAAAGGGGAGAATGAAAAGTGAGGTCATCAGCTCCACACCACACATCTGGCTTTTGTGTGTATGTGTTTATGTCTGTGTGAGCGCATACTCCAGTGTGCAAATTAGACCACGTACACTGTAGAGGCTGGTCTCTGAGATGCAGACACTGATGTGCATGAAGTGTGAGCACATAAGTGTGTTTTTGGAGAGTGAACTGCACACTGTGCAAAGGCAGACACGATGTAAAGTTTTTCTTAGTGTATCCAGCATATCACCAGCTAACTCTACCAGATCAGTTACGACTTCACCATACTTCTGAGATGGCTGGTTTTATCAACACAGATTAAAATATTTAACAGCTGTGCGGGAAGAAATCTACCATATTTGTTGGTAAGATTCATTTCCTACTTCTTCCTACTCACTGCTGTGTCAGATGAGCACCAGAGACGATATCAAGAAAGCACCAGAAGCAAGTGACCTGGGCTGGGACAGGGATATGCCAGTATAAATAAAGGCTTAGTTCCAATATTGTGACTCCCTTAGAGCATCTGGGGGAAGTGTCTTTGATAAGTAGCTTTTTTGCTAGTAGTTATTCACCCTTAAAAATAGCAGATGTGCTGGTGGAACCCTGCCTTCGGCAGCTAGGCAGCCGGGTGAGAAGGGTACGTGTGTGATTTGATGTTTAGCCTGGGCTGGCAGTTTTGAAGCCGAGCTGGCCTTCTGGTATCATTTTCACTCCTTTCTTTTTGGAAAACTACTGCAGGGAGTAATCATTTGATGCTGAAGCAGGAATGCAAACATAATTTTAATGCAAAGTCCCATAGTGTATTCTGAAAGCATAATAAAATGTGTCTATGACAAAGGACAGGGAGTCAGGATATCCCAGTAGCCTACCTCTGGGCATCCCAGCTGGGTACACAAGACCATCTACCATTAACCATGACCTACTATACACATTGGCCATCTTGTCTTATTGTGCATCCCTTATTAACTAGTTGGCATTATACCTGCACTAAAATTAATCTGCTGTGTATGCTCCCACCCTGTCCCCCCTAAGGAAGACTGAGCTTACAACATGCGGTAGGGTTAGGAACATATTTGGTCAAAAGCCAAGTCTAAAAGGTCCAGAGTGAAACTTTCTAAATCCAGTATAATCTGCAGTGTCCTGTGCTGAAAAGCACAAGAAAGGAATCATCATTTAGAAGCAGCACTTCTTTTATCACACATGAGTGCTTCCAACAGCAGCTTAGGACAGGAAGGAACTTTTACTCAAATACACCTACTGACAAAAGGGAATTACCCAAAAATGGAATTTCACCAGAATAGAATTGGTCTGCCCTGCTCCCCACCAAAACAGCACCTACCATATTACACGGGCAATGAGTTCAACAAAGAATCACAAGCAGTTGACTTCCCATCACATCCCTGGCTCATTTCCTGAGGCATCCCAGTGACCCATACAAGGGTTCATGTCTAAGTGCTGATCAGTCTTAAACTTTAGCACTAATGATATACAGCAAGCCCATGGCTCAGATTGCTGTAATTTTTGAAACAATGGCCATAGCTAGCTTCTACATTGGGTGTTTCTTGTTGATTTTTTCTTTTAGTTGTGTTTTTTTTTTATAATTTATTTTAAAATCATTGCTCCTGAGCACAATGGAATCACAGAATTTTCAGAGTTGGAAGGGACCTCGAGAGATCATCTAGTCCAACTCCCCTGCTAAAGCAGGATTACCTAGAGCACATTACTCAGGACTCCATCAAGGTGGGTCTTGAAAATCTCCAGAGAAGGGGACTCCGTGACCTCCCTGGGCAGCCTGTTCCAGGGTCTGTCACCCTCACCGTAAAGAAGTTTTTCCTCGTATTTGAATGGAACTTCCTATGTTCCAGCTTATGTCCGTTGCCCCTCATCCTATCACTGGAAACCACTGAAAAGATTCCGGCTCCATCATCCTTCAACCCACCCTTTAGGTACTTGTAAACATAGATAAGGTCTCCCCTCAGCCTTCTCATCTTGAGGCTGAAGAGCCCCAGCTCTTTGAGCCTTTCCTCGTAAGAGAGGTGCTCCAATCCCTTAATCATCTTGGTTGCCCTACGCTGGATTCTCTCCAGTAGTTCCCTGTCTCTCTTGAACTGGGGAGCCCAGAACTGGATGCAGTATTCCAGTTGTGGCCTCACCAGTGCAGAGTAGAGGGGGAGAATGACCTCCCTTGACCTGCTGGCTACACTCTCCCCTATGCAGCCCAGGATTCCATTGGCCCTCTTGGCAACAAGGGCACATTGCTGGCTCATGGAAAGTTTGCTATCCACTAGGACTCCCAGATCCTTCTCCTCAGGAAGCAGCAGTTTCATTTCCACTGATGCCCAGTGAATTGTTTCAGGTTTCCTCTCCTTTCTCTGTCATGCAGAGAGTTTGTTCAGATTTCCTCTCACTTTCCTCATTGTTCTGGGAGCAGAGGAAATGGCACGCTTGGAATCCAGTGACAGATGCTCAGCTACGTCAGCATTTTCACTGCGAACACACCCAGCTGGGCTTCCCAACCAGCACGAGAGAGGGAGGTCTGCTCAGAAATGCAGTCACGAGTTCCATTTTATGGTCAGTTCTGCTGTCGTTTTGAAGCCCAAGCTGTTGCATACGTTAGCATCCTTTTCCCCAAAGGATGTCCACCTAGCTGCAAGGGTGCCTAGCTGCAATCAGCAGTGGGAATACAAATTAGAGAGGCAACATCTAGACCAGATGGAAACCAATAAGCTCAGAACTACCATCATGACACGGTATTTTGATGCTGCCTTCCCTCAAAAGGCACTAAATCCATCACCATTTTCACCTCTCGCATTGCACTTGCATGCTCCCCCCCAAGTCACAACAGCAGCAATCAAGAGATCTGGGTGAATGCTTTCATCTATTCCCATCCCCTATTCTCTCATTTCATGCAGTGAGTTCCCACAGTTCAGTTTATTTTATGTTTTTCTGGCACTTCAAAGCTGCACATTGGCAATTACCATAAACAGGAAAGCAAGGCAGAACAATGACACTTCTTGACTTCTTTTCTTCTCTTCACTAGTAATTCAAAATGTTTCATACCAGCACTTATGATAAAGTCAATTTGCTCCTTTTATGTATTATATATGTAGGTTTATATATCTACTTGTACTTTTGTGCCTGGCTAGCTCATTTTGCCTTGTTCTTTCACAATTGTAGAATTTATGAATACAGAACACGGACACACTGCCTAAGCAACACAAGTGCTGAGCTGCAGGCCAGAGGTTTAGCCATTTGCAGTTAATGCCAGGCGGGCAGGTTTAACACAGCCAATTCAGTGTGCTCTTATCTCAATAGTGCCCACAGATCCATAACTCCCCCTTTCCTGGAGGCCTCTCTGGAGATCAGTGAAAATCCACCCACAGTTTCTAATTTAGCAAAGCATAGCACTTGCCACATAATCAACCCTCCCTTGCAGAAGCATAAACCAAATAAGGTTAAAAGGAAACAAGCCTTGAACATCTTTAGGAGAAATGCCTCCTCAAGTGAGCTGCTTAATCAAGCCTTGTGAAGTCTTAAAGAAGAAGCCTCTGCCCGAGCATTCACACACCATCCATGGTGTTGACACTTACTCTCAGGTGCTCTTCCTCCTTCTTCAGACTCGACCCTAGGTTTCCCGAGGCAGAGTCTCAGGCACCAGATTTTGTAAAATAATTTAATTGAAGGGTACAGCAGCAATGACAGCCCAGGCTGGCTGCCTCTGAAGAGAGGGACCCCAAACAAAGAAATCCCTGGGCAATTACAGCCTTGTGAGCTATATACCCACCCCCTACATGCTCTTCACATGCTGCCCATGAGACTTTTGGTCTGGGGTCTTCTAAGCTGGGGTTGTTCAACCTAGAGAAAAGAGGCTGAGGGGAGACCTTATCGCTCTCTACAACTACCTGAAAGGAGGTTGTAGAGAGGTGGGGGTCTGTCTCTTCTCCCAAGTCACAGGCAATAGGTCATGAGGAAATGGCCTCAAGTTGCGCCAGGGGAGGTTCAGATTGGATATTAGGAAAAAATTTTACACTGAAAGGGTTATTAAGCCTTGGAACGGGCTGCCCGGGGAAGTGGTTGAGGCATCATCCCTGGAGGAATTTAAAAGATGGGTTGACATAGTGCTTAGTGCCATGGTTTAGCAATGGATTTTTATCAGAGTTAGGTTGATAGTTGGACTAGATGATCTTAAAGGTCCCTTCCAACCCAGACAATTCAATGATTTTAGCATCTTATTGGATTCTTTTCCTGTGCCCAGGCAGGCAGGCTCTTATCTTGTTGATTTGCAGTTTCAGCCGAGGGTCAGTGCCTCCTTACCTTGTGGCTTACACATCCTGTGCGCCTGGCCTCGCTGGCAGAATACGGAGAACCGGAGAGTCTCAGACTTGGGAAAACCCCTATCAAAACATGCGTGTGGTATGTACACCTCTCCCACACTAAACGCCTAACCTCAGTGCTGTACCAGCTGCTGGGAGAAATAACTACCACGGCCTAAAGGCTTCAGCACATCCAGCTACTCATGCCCAGCACAGCTAGGTAAAAGCACAAATCACATCGTATTATAAGTAAATTACTATAATTAAAACTTGTTTATTTACGCTAAACGACTAATATCCCTCAACACGCAGATCAGCTTGTTCACACAGACACGGTAACTGGGCCGGCATCGGCGGCAGCCGCGCGTGGCCCCGCGAGCCCCGCCGACCCCCGCCCACTTCTCGATTGGCTCGTTCCTCCGGACTACAAATCCCATAACCGCCCTCGCAGTGGTGAGTGGCACTACAACTCCCGTAGTGCTTTGCGCTGCCTCAGCCGGAGACTGTCCAAAATGGCGGCAGGAGAGGATGAAGGCCAGGCGGCGGAGCCGGAGGCGGCAGCGGAGTCGGAGGCGGCGGTAGAAGAGCCACGGAGCTTCAAGGACCTGGTGAGGCCGGGCCGGGGTCAATTCTGTCCCCGCTGCTCCCTTCCCCGTTCCGCGGGGCACTTTCGTGCCCCCGCCCCGCATGTCGGGCCGGAGGGGAGCTCCTCGCACAGCCGCGTGTGCCAGGCCGTGCCCCACGCCGCCCTGTCGTGCTCGCCCCGTCGCGGCATGGCCCCGGGCTGCAGGCGGCCCCTGGGCCGGCGGAGCCGCCGGTGTGCGGGAAGGAGGCAGACACGTGGGCCGGCCCCGCCGCCGCGGCCATCGGCGTGCGCGGTGCTGTGCCTGGGCTGGAGGTCTGGGGAGTCCGGGCCTCTGCCCCGGTGAGGGTGGCGTTGCTGCTCCGGTCTGTGCATCTCGGCCGGCTGCCTGTATTTCCAGTTGTGTTACCTTGCCCTGGCGTTTTCCTATTTCCGTGCTCGTGGGGCACCCCCAGAAGGGAAGAGAGGCTGCTCTGTGTGTGTAAAGATACTTGTGTAAACTAGGTAAAAAATTACAAGTTTCTTCCGGATGGTGGTCACCTCCAACACTTTTGAACACATCTATGAAGTGGGGATGGAGATGGGGATCACTGTGAGCAGCCTGCCCTTTCATGTAGTTGCACTGAGGTTCTAATGGGGTTTGTCTTGCTAGAGACGAGCTTGGCTCTGTTGCAGCATGTATTTAACTTAACTCTGTGGTTTAATTTAGGTCGTCTTGGTCATGTTTGCTTCCCTTTTCTCTTTTCACTAATGTCCAGGGAGTGACAGATGTCCTGTGTGAAGCTTGTGACCAGTTAGGATGGAAGGTGCCAACAAAGATCCAAGTTGAGGCTATTCCAATGGCTCTCCAAGGTGAGCAGTGTACTTCTCTGATCCTGAGTCTGGGAATGACCCAGTAGCTCTATGGGAATTAATTTTGCTGGGTGAGAAATAAGTGGCAGGAATGAAAGTGTTCTCACTTCATCATTAAAGATCTCTGTCTAGAAATAGTCTGTTCATTCTTGTGTACTTCCCAGGTGGAGGTTGCAATACAGATTTCTTCTGTATCACTGCTTGCGGTTGTAAACTTTCAAATGGGTACAAATAGGGTTTCTTGAGTGTTCACTACTGTTGTGTAGTTCTGACACTCCCTGGTAAATAGGATTATTGTCAATCATTTGAGAAGCTAGTCCACATCGACCACTTTCTTTCTAAAATACACAGGAAACTCCTGATAGATTTAGGACTGTGACTCTTCTGGTAGATACCTATAGTCTGTGTCTGAAATTGGAGATGCCTTGACTAATTACAAAGCTTGTATAATCTGCATTGCTGTGAGCAGGCAGTTCTTTGAAATTAGATTGCTGGAGTGAATAAACCACAGTGACTTTCAGGAAACTTCCTGAAATTACAAAAAAATAAATTACTGATTCAGCAAACAATTCTGCCTCCAGAATATTTGGTTGGTTTGGTTTTAACCACCATGAAGCAGGAACAGAACGTAGTCATAGAATGGGAATAAACTTTCAGTGTCTACTCCGTCCTAGTACTTTTGTCAGACTCTTTTGCTCTACATATAAGACTCTCTTGGAAAAGCAAAAAAACCCCAAACAAAAGTAAAATTGCATTCCTGAGAAGTTGTCTCCAGTTTAAAGCCTGTTAGCAGTGCATTCTTCTCAGGTGTAGCAGTTTAGGAGGTCAGAATGGATTCTGTTGATGAATTCTATCCTGTTGCCTGCACTGGTTTTGGGCAAAGGGCAGGCTATTGTAATCCATGTGAAATGCGAGTTTGGTAGTGCCATTTTGTGGTTGGTGTGACCTAAGTCCCAACCACTGGAGTTGGTCTAGAATACTTACCCAGATAGAAGCAATAGGCTGTAAGTTGACGGACAGATTTGAGAAATAATAAACTCAAGCATTTTTTGAACCTAAAGTTTATATGAAAACCTGTATATTGGCAGGAATTTAACTACAGAATGGAAAGGATTGAGACTGTAATCATTGTACAAATGAAGTTACACTCTCAAAGTGATTCAGAGATGTTCTCAAATTCTTTGGTTTGACCCTTTTTTCCTCTTTACCCTTTGTGTGTCTTTTTTTGTTTTTTAAATCCTTAGGGAACTCTTGTGCTTTATTGCACAGTGCTTTAAAGGCTTCTTTCTCTGGCCTAGATTTTAACAGTTTTTGCCCTCCTTGCTGCTCCTTGCAGGTAGAGATATCATTGGACTGGCAGAAACTGGCTCTGGAAAAACAGGAGCCTTTGCTTTGCCAATTCTTCAAGCGCTGCTGGAGACACCTCAACGATTATTTGCTCTTGTCCTCACACCCACAAGGGAGCTGGCCTTCCAGATCTCAGAGCAGTTTGAAGCTCTTGGATCCTCCATCGGTGTCCACACTAGTAAGTGGCTTTGTGATATTGAAGCAGTTTTCTTGAAAACTGAAGTTTGTTGGCTGTAGATTGCAAAGGAAAAAGTGGGGAGTATTTGTATGGAGGATTGAACAAAAGATGATAAAAGCTTGTGATGCTGGAAGACGGAGATCTGGTGTCGGGTTTGGGAAAGAAAGGCTGTGTGGTTTTCCCTCATGGAGTAGCCTGCAGCTCTTCTGCATTTTATGTCCAAACAGTTCAAGATGGAAGTAGAAGAGAATCTTCTCAATAGTAAGTTTGTGTCCAGTGAAATTGAACAGAGCTCCACTCTGTATAGTGTGATATAGTTTAATCTTTTTTTCAGACTCTCTGTATTGGTTCTTTAGATATTCTCTACAAACATAAAAGCTTTGTGGGTATTATTGGAGCATATGGAGATTTTTGCAGCTGAGTTAAGCTGCAAGGAATAGATAACTGCCTGTAGCTCTTCAACTGTGAGAATAAAATACCCAGGGCCAGTAAGGGCTTCATGGTATGGCTTAAGAGGCCTGGGAAGGTCAGGTGTGCTAAAGTAAAGTGAATTCTAGTAAAGATAAGTAGCCTTTTATTCATACAGAGTTGTTGTGGGTGGCAAGGAGTAGGAGGAAACACTAGGGTGCTGGGGCTGGCTGGTGCTACGCCGAGAGATTCATTATATTCTGTTTGTCCTGCAGCGGTTATCGTGGGTGGAATTGACAACATGTCGCAATCTCTGGCCTTAGCCAAGAAGCCACATGTTATAATTGGTAAGTTAATGTGCTGGGGGTGCGGGGTATGAATATTATGGAGCTACAGTAGTCGATAGAAAGAGTGCCAAAAGGTTTTGTGCATTTGAAGGAGAAGTAAGAGTACATCCTTCATTTGTTTTTGTCCTGAGATCTGAGTACTGGCTTATTAATAACACATCTAAAGTATATGCCAGTAGCCTTGCTGCTACAAGCTCATTCCAAATCATCACACCTATAAATACTTAAAGGGTGGGTGACAAGAAGATGGGGCCAGTCTTTTTTCAGTGGTGCCCAGTGACAGGACCAAGAGGTAATGGGCACAAACTTTAACATAAACTCCATATAAACATGAGGAGGAACTTCTTTCCTTTGAGGACGGTAGAACACTGGAACAGGCTGCCCAGGGAGGTGTTGGAGGCTCTGTCTCTGGAGACATTCAAAACCTGCCTGCACACGTTCCTGTGCAACCTGCTGTAGGTGGACATGCTTTGTCAGGGGGGATGGACTAGAGGATCTCCAGAGGTCCCTTCCAAGCCTGTATCATTCTGTGATTCCTGCTAGACCACCTTTGGCTTGGTTTTTCATTCTCCTCAAGTATTCAAATTGCTGTTGTCATCCTTCTCAGTACAGCTTTTTTACAGTCTGTTTTGTGGGGTTTTTTAGGGGGAGAGGGGGAAGGAAGGCATTGTTCAGGGAGTCTGACTCCATTAGTCTTATTTAAAAACACTCTGAAGATATTCCTATGAAAGAGTCCTTCCCACAAAGCAATCTGCCTTTACTTCTCTTGGGCAAAGAATCCCATTTCTGTAACAGATTATTCTTTTGCCTCTTTAGATCTTTTTCTTTGCTTTCATTCTAAATTTGCCCTCCTGATTTTGGTCGTAGCTACCCCTGGCCGTCTAGTTGACCATCTGGAGAACACAAAGGGCTTCAACTTACGAGCTCTGAAGTTCCTAGTGATGGATGAGGCTGACCGGATCCTTAACATGGATTTTGAGACAGAGGTAGGAATCTGCTAAAAGAAGAGTTTGGGACACCACGTGAGTCCCTTTAAAATTACTTCATACAGTCACATAGTACACACTGAGCTGTTCTGTAGAAACTAATAGCAAATTGTAACTAAGATCTAATAATTGCACAAAAGTCTATGGTGGCAGTAGAATTTAGCAGGGTTCTACAGAGCAGTAGCAAGACAGTAGGAGAGGCATTTTGTCTCTGAAATCTGCTGGTTTCTCTGGAGCACCTGACATTGGCATCGTTGCTGTAGAACATGATCACATGCACATTCTTGGCAGGAACATTTCCTGATATTTGCACTGCTGTTGGACTTCTGGAATTCACGCTGCCTAATTGGCAACGAGCTATCAGCCTGCACCTTCCCTTTAGAAGAGGTGAAATTTGTTCCTGCTGTGAAAATTGCACACATGCATTACTCTCCATTTGGATGATCATTATAATTGGAGGAGGCTTATGTCTTGATCGCTGTTGTATTCAGCATTTCCATTTCCTTTCTAATTTTACAGGTGGATAAGATATTAAAAGTGATTCCTCGAGACAGGAAGACATTCCTGTTTTCTGCTACCATGACCAAGAAGGTAAGAGCAGAGTACTCTGCTTTAGTTCTCCTTCCATCAGGCTGTACCGGAGACTGTATGATACAGGTTTCTACAAGATCTCTGCCATCTAGTACTAACTTACATTGATCTTCCAGGTTCAAAAACTCCAGCGTGCTGCTCTGAAGAATCCTGTTAAATGTGCTGTTTCTTCCAAATACCAGACAGTTGAAAAACTGCAGCAATACTACATTTTCATCCCCTCCAAATTCAAGGTAATGCCACTTCTGTTTCTTCTCTCATCTGATTGTGTCTTGTCTTGCTGCCCAGTATCTCACCATCCTCTCTGGCTTCTACTTGCTCTTTAATGTGGCATATGTGATTATATCTTTTTTTTTTTTCTTCTCTTTCTTCACAGGACAGCTACCTGGTTTATATCTTGAATGAACTAGCTGGGAACTCTTTCATGATATTCTGTAGTACGTGTAACAATACTCAGAGGACTGCTTTACTGCTCCGCAACCTGGGCTTCACTGCCATTCCTCTCCACGGGCAGATGAGTCAGGTATGAGCATACCCCACAGAATGGAGTAGACAGGAAGCCTGTTGCTTGGGAAATGGGCTGCAGCACACTGACACACAACTACCTTGCACAAGTAGCATTTCACAGCTAGTGGACTGGAGTGATCCCTAGAAATTTAACTATTGTATTTAACTATTTTTTTTAACTGATTTTCTTTCAAAAAAGAAATGAGAGAAGTGAGATTTTTGAGTTGTTTCTCCCCCTAGTTCTTCTGTACCAGTGTTTCAACTAGAGCATATTAACCAGAATGAGCGTTATTCTCTCATTCCCTTTTTCTTCTCTCTTCCAGAATAAACGCTTGGGCTCTCTAAACAAGTTCAAGGCAAAGGCGCGTTCTATCCTGCTGGCTACTGATGTTGCAAGCAGAGGTCTGGACATCCCACATGTAGATGTGGTGATAAACTTTGATATTCCTACACACTCTAAGGTAAGCTAGTCTGCGTGCCAGCTGAGGGCTTCTGGTCACCCAGGGGGGTAGTGAAGCTAGAAAAAGGAACAAAGACACCTTTTCTCTGTTCTGCTGACTGGAAGTCTAGTTCACACTTCTGTAGATCTGGTTGGTTGGGTGGCTTCATCTGGATTGTAGAACTGATCCCATAAGTGAAGAGGGGAAGTGAGGGACATTCTGTGTCTTTGTGTGTCTGCTGAGAGTATGTAGAGACCTTCTAGACTTTGAAAATAGTTTTAATGTATTGTTAGTTCCAGGTAGTCGTCTCTGTTCCTGTAATCCAGGTCTGACCACATTTTAAACCAAGTTTAAAAAAAAAAAGTAAAAATTGTCCCATTATATTCAATGAGGGTTTGATCAAGAAAGATGTCTTTAATATGTTTCACCTTCATATCACAGAAGTACAGCATGCTGAAAAAAGTGAGTTACTAATTCTCTCCTTTCTATTGTGTCTGCTGAGAGTATGTAGAGACCTTCTAGACTTTGAAAATAGTTTTAATGTATTGTTAGTTCCAGGTAGTCGTCTCTGTTCCTGTAATCCAGGTCTGACCACATTTTAAACCAAGTTTAAAAAAAAAAAGTAAAAATTGTCCCATTATATTCAATGAGGGTTTGATCAAGAAAGATGTCTTTAATATGTTTCACCTTCATATCACAAAAGTACAGCATGCTGAAAAAAGTGAGTTACTAATTCTCTCCTTTCTATAAAGTATAGTATTATCTTAGGGGTGACTTTGTTTCGCAGCCTAGTTTCAGAAAGCATATATAAAGTATAGTATTATCTTAGGGGTGACTTGTTTCCCAGCCTAGTTTCAGAGACCATGCAATTAACATGCATTTCAGGAATTGCTGTTGTTCCTCATAAAGATCGAATATACTACACATAGCGAACAGAAGAAAATATGGTGGTTGTCTTGATGACACTGCTTTTGCATTTCAGGAATTGCTGTTGTTCCTTATAAAGATCAAATATACTACACATTGCAAACAGAAACACTGCTTTTCACATTGTAAAGGGACAAAAGTTCAAAAAAAAAAAAGTAAAAATGGTGAGGGCAGCAGCTTGAATGACATTGTTACAGTTTTTGTGCTCCTCCCTCTTTTCTAACCATGTCACGAAACGCATCCTTTCTTACGATGCTTCCTTTCTCTGCAGATACTGCATGGAGAAGGGGGTATTTTAATTTCCATAATGCAGTATAAAACCTGGAAAACTGCCTAGAACCATATAAACAGAAGACGTTCCGTAGATCAGACGCTTCCAAATTGTTCTCATTCACCCTCCCTTTCACTGTGCTTGCCAAAATTAAATCTACTTGCCAGAGAGTTTGTCTGGAAGACATGCTATGCAGAGCACTAGATTCTAAGACTAAAAATGCAGACACTGACTCGCTTTAAATACTACTTTTCCAAGGAAGTGGTCGTTGGTTAGCAAAGTCAAGTATTGCAGCTTTTGTCCTGCAGTCCTTAATAATTGGAGGTGGTCTTCTACTTTAGAAAGAGAAGAATTCAAATATTAAATATATGCTTCCATGAGCTAGTATCTTCTCAAGTCCTAATGCCACACACAGTCGTGAGTATTTAATCCTGGCCGTATTTTCTCTCCATTTTTCTGTTCTTTCCTAAAGAAAAATTATGATGGGCTGGTTTCCCATAGCTTCTGTTCTGTGTTTGGTGCATGTAACTTATTGCTTATCAAGAAAATTGTTTTCAGGATTATATCCATCGTGTTGGGAGAACGGCTCGAGCTGGGAGATCTGGCAAATCTATCACCTTCGTCACACAGTAAGTGTTAAAATGTGGCAGACATTCTTCCCAGCTGTGTTTCAGAGCAGAAAACATCTGACCTCATCCTGGGTGAGAAGAAAATATAACTCTATGCAGAGCACTAGATTCTAAGACTAAAAATGCAGACACTGACTCGCTTTAAATACTACCTTTCCAAGGAAGTGGTCGTTGGTTAGCAAAGTCAAGTATTGCAGCTTTTGTCCTGCAGTCCTTAATAATTGGAGGTGGTCTTCTACTTTAGAAAGAGAAGAATTCAAATATTAAATATATGCTTCCATGAGCTAGTATCTTCTCAAGTCCTAATGCCACACACAGTCCTGAGTATTTAATCCTGGCCATATTTTCTCTCCATTTTTCTGTTCTTTCCTAAAGAAAAATTATGATGGGCTGGTTTCCCATAGCTTCTGTTCTGTGTTTGGTGCATGTATCTTATTGCTTATCAAGAAAATTGTTTTCAGGATTATATCCATCGTGTTGGGAGAACGGCTCGAGCTGGGAGATCTGGCAAATCTATCACCTTTGTTACACAGTAAGTGTTAAAATGTGGCAGACATTCTTCCCAGCTGTGTTTCAGAGCAGAAAACATCTGACCTCATCCTTTCATTTTGAGGCACCACTTGGATTTATTTAGCTAAAGTGGAGAGAATTCAAAGTCCAGGGTGAGGAGGAGGAAAGGTCTAAGATAAATTCTAGAAACAGGCACGTAATGAGCAGAACTGTTTATAATTTGATTGTATAATATACATACTTTTTTTGGTAATATATAATGCAGGTTAAGTAAGTGTGGGTTTTTGATAAATACTGAGGTATTTGTCTAAAAAAAAAAAGTCTTTGCCAAATACTTCTGAATGGAGATGAGCTGAATAAATCAGTGAAGCCATCCTGAGCGATGGCATCATTTGGATGCAATTAAGAGTTGCTTGTGAGACCATCAGCACAAGCTAACCATATCTGTGGGCTGGAGATAAGGGCTGATTGTCTATGGGTGGTGACAGCTGAAGGACTCTCAGGAGGCCTGATTCAAGCCGGTGTCTTGGCTTTTCTCAGGTATGATGTAGAGCTGTTCCAGCGCATTGAACACCTGATTGGCAAGAAGCTGCCAGCGTTCCCCATGCAAGAGGAAGAAGTTATGATGCTGACAGAGCGAGTGGCTGAGGCCCAGAGATTTGCTCGGATGGTGGGTGCTGGCTTTTTGTCCCTCTGTACTTGCTGTTGTAGTCTGAATTTCCGCAGGTGCCAGAACTCTTGGTCAATCTTGTGTTTGCATTGCAGGAGCTACGGGAGCAGGGAGAGAAGAAGCGATCTCGGAACGATGACGATGATGACACAGAAGAAGCTATTGGTGTCAGAAATAAGGTGGCAGGTGGTAAAAAGAAGAAGAGGAAAGCCTTCTAGCTCAGTATTTGGACAGACTTTTTTATTTTTCTCTGTATTGTTACATGAGCTCGGCAAAAATGGTCCACCAAGCCATCTCCAGCGGATTGTTTTTTTTCCAGAACTACTTATGAAATTGGGCAGTTCACCTGGAAAACAACTTCCTCTCTTATGCTTCACCAGTTACAGACTGAGCTTGACCCACTGTGGTACCATAAGACCGATTTTTCCTTTCAGAGGCACCAGACTGTCACCTCTGGACCCGAAAGCAGCAGTGGTCTGGCCCTGCTCATTCACAAAGAGGTGCAGTGTGAGTGCAGCCTTTCCCGCTGCAAACTAGTGCTTCTGGGGTCAGGTTAAGTCCCTCAGAAGAAAGAGAGGAAAAAAATTAAGAGGCAACTGAGTTTCCACAGCACAGCTGTGATGCCCTTGCCTTAGTGACCATGTCCATGTGACGTGGAGAACTCCAAATATATTTTGCTTAATTTTAAAGCTATCTGGTTTTTCTGTGTCTTGCCACTTGCTCATTTTGAGTATCGGCTCTGTCACAAGGTTTTCTTCTTAGGTCAGTCTTAGCAATTCAGGCGTGACATGAATATGTCAGCTGAAGGGTGGCCCAGCACAAAGAGAACCTGTTTGGCAGGATTAGGCTATTCCCTGCCTGAAATTCGATTCAAAATCCGTAATGATTGGCAAGCTCAAGGGGAGGTCTGGGTTTTGATGTTTGTTTTTGTGGCTGGTTCTTGTAGTACTTACAAATCAACGCAAGAGGGTGGTATTTACATAAGAAAGCAGTTTATGAGCTGGGTGGTGGAAAAAGGGTATCGCAGAGGCTCACTCTGTGTTCCCCAGTTTATTTCTCTGTCTTAGGCAGAGTTCAGTGCTGTAAATAGAGTCTTGCAAGAATGGAAGTAATGTACTTACCTTCATATCAAATCGGAAGGTTAGTGCTAGTTCCCACTGACAATAAAAATTTTCACACTGGATGTTTCTGCTGGTGGACAGAGGAGGGCAAGAAGCTCCATGATCACTGAACATGAAAATTTAATGTCTGTTGGAACCACTCATAAACTAGATTTTCACCTACATGGCAAACAGTGTTCAAAAGATTATTTTTTAGATCTAAAGGTAAAGCAGAAACTGTTGCTGTAGTCAAGATGAGCACAATGCTTACTTCATAGTGTCAACATAAATCTAATATTCACATTTGCTAGTCAGAATACTTTTATACTTTTTTTTGAGGCAGCACATTTTGCAAAAATTACAAAAAAACCAGCATGATTAAAACTAAGGGGAGCATGTTTTTAAAACAGCTCTGTTGTCTTCATGCGGAACAAACATACTGTCTGGTGTGAGAAGATTGCAAGTGTTCTTATATTGTCCTTTGTTTTTTGTAGCAATTTACTCAAATCTCCCACATATTGACCATCAAGTTTGATAGACCGAAAGTAGCGTAAGATCCATGGCAGATAAGTAAGGGTACAGATCTTGGATATGTTGACTGCTAAGGGTATTTTTATAAAGCAGGAAGAAAGTTTGTGTCTTCTGTGGGTGCTAGTGCAGAGAGGCTGGTTTGGGAAGCCCAGTAACAAGAACAAGTTAATTTTATGGGGCCCTTTGGTAGGGATCCCCCACAGGTGAGAGGAAACAGCCCTAGAATGTACCAGAGAAAAAAATAAAATGAGTGAGCATATGGGTGGAGATGAAAATGCTTGTTCCCCATGGAGCAAGGGAGCTCTGCTCTCATGACTGGTTTTCTGTCCTACCGATACTTGAATAAAAACTCTTACCCTTCACAAGTGGGACAGGGTTTGTCCTGCTATCAGCAAATGAAGATTAAATCCCTCTGAGGCGCCTGGGTCTCTGGAAAACCTTTTAGTGTTATTCCCAGCTATGTGATGGGTGGCATGCAAGTGATGTGAAGGGCAATTTTACTTCTGGAGGAGGTAGGGCATGGTCATTCCTTTCAGAAGTAGTTTGAGGCTTTCTTTAGTAGATTGGTGGAGTCTCTTGCATCTCTGTGTTCTTTCCTTTGTGGAAGGCTGCAACAGCCGAGGGGATCCGTCTTGCCCCTTGCTGGGATCAAAGATTCTCTATCCCTCCTCTGTAGTTGCAGGAGTTACAGTGGAAAAAATTAGAGCTGCCCCTCGTAAAAGGCTGCAGAGCCTCATTGGGAGGAGTGACTCCTAGACAGCTGGCCACCTCCCTTGATGTGGAATGACAAGCTGTAGAAACACTTGGCAGTAGAAAAGCAAAGGTCTCGCCACACCCACATTCTCACTGGTGCCTCACCTGCCACAGGTATGTGCATTCAGTTTCAACTAAAAATATCTCAACAGGTTGGAGGGGCAGGAAATAGTTTCTTATTGTGACTACCCCATGAGGGCTAGGTCAGAGGGTGTTTGTATAACTGAAGTGGAGTAGGGAGTGTCTAAAGATGCGTTTGACCAAAGCAGAACTTGCAGCCAGGCTAAAGCAAAATCTGTAGCTGATCTGATGAAACCTGAAGGGGAAAAGAATGGAGTGAGACCTGTCTATCTGTGGACAGATCAGTAAATACCAGCGCTGGTATGTGTGCGCCTGCATAGTTTTGTACAACAACTGATTCCAGTGTGTTTGTTCAGTCGGGAGGACACTCGAGGGGCAGTTCTGAAGCACACCTCTCCAGTCTTTGCATAGCAGGGAGCTGAAGTGGAGGTTTAACTTCAGCGTGACGTCTGGTAGTATCAGGCTAACACAACCTGTCTTTTTTTTGTGTGTGTGGTTGAAACTCAAGTGAAGTTTCAACAAAAGCTGTGCTTTTGTAAGATGTTTGGTGGGGATGTTTGCAGTTGGAAACAATTCTGTACTTCCCAAGTCCATAATGAGATGATTGTTTATATAGTTGTAATACATATTTTAAATAATGTTTTATAGTATTGATTTTTAATACTGTACAGGTGACTGCCCCAGACAGTAAAGAATGGGGATACAGTGTCTTTCATTTAAGCGTTCTAGAGCTAGTGGAAGCAGAACAATCCTTTGCAGGGGAGGAGCAAAATTAAATACTGATATCAGTGTGAGTAACTGACTTCAAAATAAGATAGCTGCAAAAAGTAGCAGTCCCTGCAACCACACAGTGGTCCAGACCAGCAGCTGCGATGAACTGACCTGTCTGAAATGGATGTGGCCGTCTCAGTTACCCAGTGCCATGCAGCTGCTGCCCAGGGGTGCAAGGGAAGACGTGGGCAGGAGAACACAGCTGGGAACCAGGGTGGGGAATCCAAGAGACTTTTTCAGCGGTGGCAGTCTGAGCCTAAGTCTGCTTAAAATAATCATGAGGAACACAGCACAGGCTGTTCCAAGGACCTGGCAGCTCCACCCACCCCACCCACCTCCCACCCCCCGAAAAAAAAAAAGTAATGATGACCAAGAGGGAGAGTTACTTATGATGAGTTTCCAGCAACACCAGTAACCTGAGCTGAGAAGAGTCTCAGTTCAGGAGGGAACTCTCAGAGTAATCTTGAAGGCCTTAGTTTACAAAGCAGGACTGAAATTAGTAAACATTCCTACTTGAGCCAAGCACTGAAGAAGGAAAATATCCAACATACTTAAAAAAGAACTTGGAAGTACTTAAGAAGGAATGGAACTGATTGCAGGACCTGTGAAAGGCACAGGCATGTGCCAAGCATTTTGATGTTATATAAATATGAAGTTGTGGTTTGCCTGCAGTGGCGTGTAAGGAGCTTCTGTAAACATTCAAGTGAGCAATTAGTTCTTGTAAATGTTGCAGAGCAAATGCTGTAAAAATCCAGCTTTGGTGCCAGAAGTAGTCCATGTAGTCATTCTGAATTCTTCCTGCTCTTGCTTATGCACTTACCAGTAGATTTTGGTGGGGGGAAACTATCACTGTGTAATCATGGAGAATCAGAATATGGGTTTATGACAGAATCCCAAGTTTTGTGGTTAACTGCTGAGATTCATTTTTTGTTTTTAAAGTTACAAGACACTTTCTTAGTTTTCAGATTACTTTTTTTCCTGGTCAGACTATGAAAGCTCCTTCTGAATAACAGTATTCAAAAGGGAGAGATAAGGATGTTTTGTTCCTCTGGCACCTAAGAAATAGGAATGGTTGCTTGCTTTCCCAGGGATGAATACAGCCATGCCTCCAGTGCTGTTACCTCTTACTGTGAGGATCCTTCAGATATGGAATCTTGTAATGATGACAGCAGCACTTTCTCTCTGCTCCCAAAGCCTCCCTAGGACACAGGTACATGCCTTCCTGAGCATGATAATCAAGTATACATTATGTTTCATGGTAGGATGCATGTTGGACTGTGCCAAAGTCATGCCTAGTTGTGCAAGAGGAGACAGTGGCACTGTGCAGTCTTCAGCTGTTGACATTGTAGGTCTTCAGGGAGGGGTGGATGCCCGTGGAGCTTGTTCAGCACTTTTTCAGCATCTAGAAGCCTGAAGCTGTATTTACTACAGGTTAACATAGGGTAATTTTGGGTGCCTGAAGGGAAGATTGCTATTTTTATCTTTGCCTTATCTGCTTGGAAGATCCTCTTCATTGCAGAGATGTACGTGCTGCTCTGTTACCTCTCCCTAAAATAGGGATCGAACTCTGTCAAAAAGTTTCTGCCTTCGTTTGGTGCTTGCTAAAGATTCCTGAGGAAAGGGAAATGCAATGGGGGCTTTCTGTGCAAGAGGGGAAATGTTTTGTCTTCCATTCAAATCCTAGCAAAGGCAGAAAAAGAACCCTGTTGACAGGCCTCTCACAGAGACTATTCTTTCTGTCCATCACTTCCTCCTCCCTATTTGCTATTGTCAAGGAAGGCAGTTTTTTTGGCATGTGTTTGCCATTTGGACTGATTTAAGTCCCCTTTAATCCTCCTCAGGATTTTCACCCACAAACACATCTCTGTGTAAAGAAAGGCAAATAGCAAAACTTGCTCTGCAAGTCATCTGTGTGAGGTAGAGAAGGGTTGCATGATAAGGTTGAATTGCTTGGGTAATGCTGGCTTTCCAGAAGAAAATGATTCCTTTGTGTAGTTTTTCTTGTACATCTGCTCCATCCCATGAACAGGGCTAAAAAATTAAATTTCTTGGCTTCGATGTAGGAAAAAAATCTTTAGTACAATGAGAGTTAGTCACAAAAGTACCTTCCTTCCTGCAGTAGCAATCTAAGGGAGCACAGGATCCAGGGAGCAAGCCTGGGAAACAATGTGTGGAGGCTCATTCAATTTTATTTAAAGCAACAGAAATTAAGGTACCCCAGTCAAGCATGTAATTGGATATACTTGGTCTTCTACTGTCTTTACTGTAGTTCGGTTGAAGGGAATTTATAGCGGGAGATCTGTCCTTGCCAAGCTTCTGTGCTGGATGTATCATCAGCAGGAAAGTAGTACTTTTTCGCCCTCAGTATGTATTCAGAATGATAAATTTGCCATTAGTGAGCAATTTCCTGTTACTGCTGCTCTTGGGCATGCTTACAGGTGTTAAACCTTTATCTTGATGCATGCCAGAGGCGCTCTTTGGTTGTTAAGGACTGGTCTTCTCCAAGCACAATCACCAATATGAAGCAGAGAGCCTAATAGACTCCTTTGACAGAGCCTAGGCACAATTCTGCAGAGCTATGGACTATTTTCCATTGGATACACTCAACTCATGTATGCCTATCTTAGTTTAGGCTCTCTCCACCCATTGGTGAGAATTGCTTTGGTATTAACTAGGAATTGTGGAGTCACCTTTCCAGTTTTCAAAAAAAAGTTTAGATAAAAATGCGAACTTTAAAAAATGCAAACAAAGTATTACCTATGTTCTCCAAAAGACATAACATAGTGGCAAATGTTTATAAAAGATGTATGGAAGAAATGTCAGAAATAAATTTGCTGGTCAGCTCTTTCTAAAATCAAATTTAGTGATAGTCTTGCTTCTGCCTGCGTTCAGCTGGCTGGCACCAGGCTGAATTTGTTAGATAGCCCTTCCTTGCAAAGCATGCTAGTGTTTTCTGACTCTTCAGTTCTTCCAAGGCTCCCACTTGGAGATGACTTCTTTTACTTCAACTATGCTGCCTCTGTCTAGTTCAGAAGATGACATTCTGAAGATC